CGCCCCTTATGGTATCAAATTTAGTGGAATCCTATAGATTATATGAAATATTCTCAATTTTGTATTGATTTTATCCTACTCGAGCTCCATATTCTGAAGCAATATGTGTTTTCTGGTTCGTATATATCAGACTTCTGGTGATCAAAAACTGCATTTTAACACAAAACGAATTCTACAGAATCTAAAAAATTATGCTAAATTCAACATCATAAGAATGGAAGTGTAAAAAGATTCATAGTTGAGGGGAAGTTGTAATTATCCAAACATGAGGGATTGTTTTATAATTTGAGCTTCTCTTTGAAGGGTGGGGGTTGGGTGGAGTGGTTGTAATTCACCATAATTTAAATTAAACAACGATCAATATATAATTTATTAATTTTATTGATTACCTGAAGCTGTTAGTCGGTGGTGCCGCTGCAGTAATCCCGCCTTTAACCCCATCATCTCCATTGTAATAACACTCTGCACCTTGATCAGAAGAAATGTTCAGCTTCCGTTTCCGAAAGCTGGCCACAACCACACGCAGCAAGCTAGTAAAAGGGCTCCCCTGAATTTTGTCCTGGCAATAGTAATACCGTTTTCCGGCCAGGAACAGAGCCAATCCGGCGACGTTTCCGGCAATGCATATGCCGAAACCCCAAGCCCAGCTGACGTTGTCTTGAACGTACACAATGCCTGTGGCGGATATGAATGAAGAGAAATACAGAGCGAAGAAATACCAGTTGAAGTAGGTTGATTGGTGGCCGAGCTTCGTGAACTGGTTCGCCCCCATTGTTGCCAGGGTGAAGCGCGATCCACCTAGGCCGATTGAAACCAGAGATAGAGCTGTGAACAGCACTGCATATTGAGTCGCTGATGGTGTGTCGCACGTGGTGGTTGCGCCGGTGCAGTTTGTAGGTTTTAGGCCGTGTATTGTGACGGTGAGTACCAGAAGGATTAGACCCTGCAGTATGTTGATGACAAAATTACGGAAATACGAATTTTCTTTAAAAAAAATTAGAAAGTGATTTTATGTGTGTGTGTGTGTGTGTGTGGTTACCAGGAGAGAGATGAGAGAGGAGATCCAGATGATGGTGAAGCAGCCGAGGAATGAGTCGGCGAGGACGGCGGCTATGATGGGGAAGAAGTTGGTGGCGCCGCTGACGACGTTGCTGACCTGGGCGGCGTCGATGCTCTTGATGTTGAATTGTTGGATCAGGAATACTATCAGGTTGTTCAGCCACCCTCCCGCCGCCAGCGTCAGTCCGGCCACGGTTGCTGCTTGTTTATTTATTTATCAGTGTATGTACCACATAATTAAATGAGTGAACAAGGTTCACAGTGTGTGTGTGTGTGTGTGTGTGTGTGTGTGTGAGAGTTGAGAGGGATGATATATCACCTAAGATGAAGGGGGCGGTGGTCCAGCCACCTCGGCTGGGTTTCGCAGCGGTGGTTGGTGGCGGAGCTTCTTCTCCAATATATCCGGTGACTGGTAGAGCGTTTCCACCAGCATTCGAAGTAGCCATGTTCTTATGCGCTTGTGCTGTTGAAGCTACTGAATGGTGATGCAAAATGGAACTATATATAATGGTAGGGCTGGGCTTTGCTTTGAATTGTAGTACACTTTGGAACAAATGGAACCAAAAGTGCGGTCAGGTCAAACATGATGGACGAAAAGGGCAATTCTCCCATTATACATGGCTCCTTCGACCCTACACCCGGTTATCACCGGGCGAGTCTTCTGCTATTATGTGTATTTTTTTTATTTTTTTCTAAAGGTATTTTTTCTAAAATCCCTAAAGGTATCCCTAGCGGAAAATATATTATAAACTATAAAGTACAAAAAAAAATACGTGACAGTAAAAGACCCACCGAGTGTTTATCATTAGGTGTAGGATCGAAGCAGTCATTATACATCCATAGCCCTCTCTCAAAAAAAAATTAAGAAATCCACGTACGGTGTAATATCATCAGCTGATTGTTAGTTTGTTACAATTAAATTTGTTGTACATATATTTAATTTCCACCTAACTCGATATACTTCATTATACTAGTTCATTAGGACCTAAATCCAATAACAAATTTATAGACCCTACAATCGTCACTTCACTAATTTATTATGAGAAACGTGGTTACAGAGAGATCACAGAATTACATATATATTTCTTTTTTTGATGAGTTTGCAGGCATAATGAAAAATCTTATATATAAACATCAACTTATTTCATAGAAAGGATTAAAACAGTAAACGATTGATGAATACCGACATTGTCAAAATCCAACACATCCATCCAAAGAAGCACAAAAACAAAAGATCAACAGATCCAACAAGTTTTTCCCAAAAAAACTACCAACATAAATTTGATGAAAAATAGGAACCGCCATTAATCCCTTGCTTGACACGAACGAACCATTATATCTAGCAGGCTTCAGCAAATCTGCAAATCCAAGGCGAGATTCAAAAAGATTAGTACAAACCTTCACACGGACAACATTATGAGAAATACTACAATAATAATAGAGAGAGCAAGAAAAAACTGGAAAGAAAGGCTTACCCCAACTCAGATAGCTTCAAGTGAGCCTCAGCATAGTCTGCAAAGAAGGCATCCTCATCCTATATAACACAATAACTATTCGTTAGTAAAGATACAAACATATTATATAATAGACAAATGTGGACAAATAAAAACGAAGATTTACTGACCGCAGCGTATTTCTCAACAATAGGGCGGAATGAAGGATCAGCAAGAAGAGCCTTGTCTGATGGCAACTGCAAGAGACCTTCTTTCTCTCCACTCAGAAGCTCCCTGTTCACAATCAAAAAACGAAACAAATTATGACACAACAGAAGCAGATATTTTCACACAAGAATAAATAATTGCAACATTGTAATATTAGAGTCATAATGGTGGTCTTACTTGAAGTAAGAGTTGTCAAAGATGAGAGGGTTTTCGGTCCATGGTCCCTCAAATCCTGAACGTTCCTTGTGGCATCTTCCCTGTATCAAATACAAATAAAATCTTTTGAGTACATACAACTTCTTGTACTATCTCGGAAACCAGAAGATAATAGCAAACACAAACCAGAGTGTGGCCACCAGAGAGAGCAACAATATCCTGGTCGGTCAGACCCATTTGTTTGACAAAAACATCCCTCAGATGGTCGGATCCTGTAATAACAGTTGCAGATAAATATTTGCAAGAAAGCATAAGGGAAACTCGAACTATGATATAGTTGATCCTCGACAAAAACTATCAATGAGTGAATGTTCACGTGTCTTACCCTTGGTAGCATCAGGCAGACGACCTTCAACAGGTGGCTCAGCCTTGTCCTGAAATTTTAGATCATGAACCATTTCTCAGCAAATTACATTTCCGAAATTATTGAACATTCTTGTCATATGGAAATATACAAGGAATAACATTACAAGAAAATGTAACAAAAGTAAAGCAAAGACAGCTTTCACTAACCGGCCTTCCTGGGTGGAATGGGACTTCAGGTCCTCCAGTAACTTCAACAGCAACAACTCCAGCCAACTGAGTACAATAAAAAAGACAAACGTTACACATTTACTAACAACAGTTGTACAATGCTGAAGTATAAAAATGCACATAAAGACAACAATACCTGATAGAAATCAGCATAAGAAATGGTCGGGAATTGCTCCCTGATGGGCGCCAAGAGCCTCAAAGCGATGTCGAGACCGCTGTTTGCACCATGTGCCAGCTCAGCATCGAACCTCATGGTTCCGAAGGGACCTCCAGTTCTGCTGCACTGATCAAATGTACCAGCAGAGTGCCATCTGCAATCACAAAACATCATATTTTAAGGATTAAAAATCAAGATTGGAGCACAATCAACTCACTTGGAATATGATTCAATACAATTAAAGAAGAATTATATGCCTTAGTTGCACCAGTCTATAACCCAAAAAAGATAAATAGCACTGAAATCATCAATATCAATCTAACCACATGTTTGAAGACCAGGCTCGATGGCTCATCGCAAGGACAAATAAAACTCCTAGATAACTTTAACGTAATTACCAAAAGGAAGACTTAACTAAACTTGGCAAAATAACCGGAACAACTTAATTGATACAAGTACTTTGAATATTTTAATCGTAACACAGGCTAATAAACAGATCCAAGTTAACCTCATAGCCTTATATATTACTCATCAGCAGTAGTTTCACCTCTGTTCAGGTCAAGTGTAACATTCATGTATAGGAAACGGATATAACACTTAGACTTATACAAAAATCACATCAATTCGATCGTTGAATTTTTCTCTCGTTCACAGTTTTTTAATATTTTATTTTTACGATTTATTATCTAAATTGCAAGTGTCTGTGTATTTAAAATAAATTGAAGCCATGGACTGATCCGCGCAATAATATATCAATATTTTCCCAGATCTAATGGCGGAATAGAAAAAGAAAAATCAACGGATGTGAAAATGATGATTAGTTTACAACATTTTATCCAATCAATGGTTAAACAGTATCAAAAAAAAATTGAGGAAAACTTACGCAAGGCGGAGCATGATAGGAGCACAGTTCTTCTCGGCGATCAATCCTCTGAGCTTCTTCTTAGCTTTCTCGACGGCCTTGAGGTACTCCTCACTCACAGTTGGGTAGTTCTTCACCATTTTTCACAGCTTTCTGGAAAAAATCAGATTCAAATCAAAATCAAAATCAAAATCAAAACACGTACATAGATAAGTAATCAGTTCAGCAACAGAAATCACAGGGATGAAATAATCAACGGATGAACACGAAAAGTCAACCACGTCAAACACAAGCCAAACCACACCGATCGAGAAAAGGACAGTTACAGATAAACGGCGTCGTAAATCAACTAACCTTAAAAACAGATAGATCGAGAAGGAGGAGCGATGAAAAAAATGCAGAAAACCCTAGGGATTGGAAGTGTGGAGAGCACAAACAGTGGGGCTGTGGATATTGTGTAAAAGGTATCGAGAGTGATTACATATAATGAGAGCGAGGAGAGAGAACTTTCCAGAATAATGATTTTCGGCCGTCCGATTGGGATGACCGTGAGGCGGGCGTGTGGAAGATGGACGGCTGCGATTGGTCTGTGTAAATGGTAGGTGTTTTGATGGGTAGGTGAGGAATTCAGAAACGGAGTGATGTTTGCAGTGGAAGCGGGAAGGCATGAATACTTACTTTTCGGTCTAATTATGATTAATGTGAAATGACCAAAACGACCTTTTGCCTTTTTAATATAAAATTCGAAAGCTTTTATTCTCTGTGGCCGATTTCATGGCTACTACAGTAGTTCTGTTGACTACAGTAGTTCTGTTGACTGTTGAGTAATGGATGTAATTTCCTACTATCTAATTATATATGGCTTAATCCCACTTTGCACCCTCAAATATACCATTTGACACTTTGCATCCTCGAAATAAACTAATAGTATTTTACACTCTAGAAACACAATATATCAGGCATAATGCACCCTAAATGAATTTTTAAAGCTAATAAATACAATTTAATATTTTTAGTCGTATTCTTTTAGGATGTAAATGTGAAATCATTTTTTTTATTCATCAATCATTTTGAAACTATAAAGTGCAAAAAATAAAAGTACATTTCATCAACATATTTAAAAAAAAATTATCACAAAATAATATTTTACTAAAAAAAGATCTTTCAACTATTTCATTATCATGTTACCTGAAAATTATATTTTCTTCCAAATATGTTTACATAATATTTCCATCATTTACAATAAAAAATCTATCAATCGAATAATTTAGTGTTAAAAAAAATATTTTATTTTATTTTATAAGAAAATTTAGTTTTTTTATTAATTCGGTGTGATTTTTATTTTCAGTGCGCTCGAAATTAGGTTTGAGGTTGAAAAAAGTAAATTTAATTTGTTATTTTGAACCTCGAAAAAAACCCAGTATATATATGTGGCTTAATCCCATTTTGCACCCTCGAAATAGAGCTTTTTATCACTTTGCACCCTAGAAAACCAATAACTGCGTTTTACACCTACAAAACACAATAAATCATTCACAATCCATGAATTGAATAATAATAAAGAGAATTTCATTTTTTATTGGATTTTTCTTTTTCAGGGTTCAAAATAACGAATTATATTGTTACTTTTCTAAACTTCCAACCTAATTTCGAGCGCACAAAGTGCGAAAAACATAAAAATCACACTAAATTATTGGCAAAACTATATTTTCTTATATAATAAAATAAAATATTTTTTATCACTAAATTATCGATTGATGGGTCTTTTATTGTAAATGGTGGAAATATTATGTAGATATATTTGGAAGAAAATATGATTTTCAGGTAACATGATAATGAAATAGCTGAAGGTTTTTTTTAGTAAAATATTTTTTTGTGATAAGTAATATTTTTTTTAAATATGTTGATGAAATGTATTATTATTTTTGCACTTTATAATTTTAAAATGATTGATGGATAAAAATTCACGTTTGACATCCTAAAAGAATACCACTAAAAATATTAAATTGTATTTATTAGCTTTAAAAATTCATTATGGGTGAATTATGCATGATATATTGCGTTTCTATGATGTAAAGTGCTATTAATTTATTTCGAGGGTGCAAAATGTCTAAATGATAAATTTTAAGAGTGAGTGCGATTAAGCCTATAATTATATTAATATTCATTATTGGGTGACAAAAGATGCAACAGAAGTATAACCGGCCACATGCGATTAGCCCTCTGGTAAAGGGTATTATCGGTAAACTAGTTTAAATATTGGGCAAGCCAAGTGTGAACACGATTAGCATTTTTAAGATTCCATTCCAAACTGGCCAATCAACGGATCACGAACCAATCAAAAAAGGCAGCTAAAGAGACCCACTTCTCCGCCATGAATTTGGTACACAATTTGGTGTGTACGACGTTCTTCAATGGGAAAACAAACAATATTCCCTTATGTGATAAAATTTATCCACGTTTGCTGGTATTAAATTGGAATAAAATTTCTTATTTTACATCCATTTGAATATTTCTAATTTTAATAAAATAATATCTCTAATTCGAATCCCAATAAATGGGTAAGTTATAACTTATATGCAACATGTTAAAATGATGCAAATTAGACATGTAACCGGGATCCGAATCAAAACTTTTATTTCGGAAAAATTCCGGGTATTCGAATCGGAAACTGTTTTACACTTTTGAAAAAAATAAAAATATTTTGAAAATGACACTTGCCGATCCGTCTAATTTCGACTCTACTCTTATTGGTTGGTAAATATTTAAAGAACATTGGAAGTTTGATTAGATCTTTATGGCGACATTTATAAAGTGTGGATATTGTTTCGATTACATATTGCAAATGATGGGCAAATTACGGTTACCTCCTGAGGTAAAGTTAAATTACGAAAAAGAAAAGTTTTATTGTTTGGTTCATTACAACAACCTCTTCAGCTATGTATTGTCGTACGAAAAAACTTCTTCAGTAGGTAAATTTGGGGTGTTTATTCGATAAAATGGTATCGAAATTTCGATACGCTAACATTTCATACGATTTACCGAACCGAAATATGCACGTATTCAATTTTTGTTCAATTCGGTTCGGTAGTTTTACCGACTGGGTGAACACCCCCAAGTAAAATTGGCACTATTAACATGAACATATAAGACAAAACATAGTTGGTGGTAATGTAATTACCCAAACATGAAGATTTTTCGTAAATTGACATTACCTATGGGGTTGCTTGTAATTAGCCCTATAATGATTGATCATAAACTTGGATTTGTGATTACTTGGGCTTCTCAAATAGTTGGGCTAGGATTTTGTTTACAAGTTAAGTAGTGTCCAGTCGGGCCAAGTTATTTAAATTGGGCTTTTGAACTTGTTAAAGTTTTAAAATCAGGCCCAAGATAAATACGCCAGCTTGGCCCGGTCCCACATGACACATCAACAACCATATTTCTATTAAAAAAACAAACTTTGAAATTTTAATAAGACAACGCCGACTGCAAACCGACAAAGGCAAAGGACTCCATAAATTTTAACAAATATATATATATTTTTTCTTAAATAAACTTATATATCTCCTAAAAAATTGATTGAAATCGCATTAAATTCGACTTGTTTACACTTCTACGGCGATGCTTAGCACTAGCTTTTATTTTATTTATCTATTCATTTTTTTACATATATTGAAAGAATCGCAACCATCTGTATAGGTCGCTCGATCAATGAAATGTTAGCAAGTCGATTCGAAATCTAGCAATTTAATCAATATAAACAAATTAAGGTTTGAAGGCTATCATAATTCACCAATCAAATAAAAAAAAATAAAAAAAGAAACTTCGATTATTTTATAAGATTAAGTTTGGGTGTGAATTTATTAATTGGTCAAACACGTATTAAATTATAGTAATTTAACTATTATATACAAAATTTCCTATTAATTATTAATTTTGAAAAAGTTACTAAAACCTAGTTTCCATGTTAAAATCAAAATCGAAATTAGGGTTTGAGTAAAACTTTTGATTAATAATATTTGCAGCCGTATTATTATTATTTATGACGTATGCTGCACAAAACCCGAAAACCAAACCCAAACAATAATATAAGAACAGAAAACCGACCCAGATGGGTAAAAAATTGCATAAAAACACAACCCATCACCCAAAGCCAACCCTTTCTCACCTTTTTCTTTCTCTCACTGTAATTCTCTCTCGCTGAATCTTCAGTCTTTGTGGCTCTCTTTCTCTCGCTCTATAATTGTATCTATTTTCTGTATCGCTATTTTATCGTATCCAATTTTTTCTCGATCCAATCATCATCTGTAAGTCCCGCCGTATCTCCAATCTCATTCGTGTTTCGGATCTCTAATTCGATTGAAACCTAGAATAATTAATCCTTTATGATTGAATTTGAATCAGTTTTGTTGATTCGATTGGCTGTGTTGAGTTTAATTTTGTGTCTTTAGTCTGGTGTTTCTTTTGGATTTTAATTCTGACTAATTCTGTATGTGTGGAACTCAATTCTGCTGTTTTTCTTTAATCGAATTCTGTTTAACGGCTGGAATTGCTCAAGATTTACTGGTCGGTGAGGGGATTTTTTAATTAGGAAAGTTTTGTAGCCTATTGTAGCTAAAGGTTTTTTCAGGGTTTGACTTTAGGTTAGCCAGGTAAAAGTGAGTTTTATCCCAAATTTTAGTTAGTCCTGCATAGATTATAGTTTTTGTTTTTTACAATTGGTCGAATTCTTTCCATTTATTTTTTCAAAATTATAAATTTAGCTGCATTGATATATTGTTTAGGCTAGTCTGCTTGAGCTGGATTGTATACTGTTGTATTATTGTATGCAGATATGCGTTGAATCTACTTCCAGTTTTAAATTTGGGGTGAATGTGAAAATACCTATGGTTTAGTCGGATTTAGTATCTGTTTCTAATTTATGATTTTCTTAAGGCAATCATGAGTGACGGAGGAGAGAAGACTTGCCCCCTATGCGCTGAGGAGATGGATTTGACTGATCAGCAGCTGAAGCCTTGCAAGTGTGGCTACGAGGTACTAAATCCTTTTTTATATGAGTATGTTGCTTTATGATCCCTCAAAGCTTCACAGCTCTTTGTTACACGTATAACAGAATAAATGCCCATTATGCTATTTTTTCTTACTTCTTTACTGTTAGTTGGAATTTGTATCATATGTTGTTGATTTTTAGTCCAGTTACATGGCCTAAATTGTTAGATTCCCCTTTGTATCATTAGAGAGACGTAAACAAAGGCTGAAGGAGAGAGAGTGAGTGGAAAAAAGGTGGTCTTGAGTTGTTACATGCTTAGGTAAGGGAAAAAAGTGTTTTTTTTTTTGGCATGGTGTGCAGCTTAATCATTGTATCAATGGTTATCACATGTCATCATGGGGCATGGGTTAATTAATTTGCTGATCAGTATTATTCAGTACTGTTAGCCGCATACTTGTTGATACTAGACTGAGAAGGGAAGGTCCTAAAACATATATTTTGATTGTTAGGAATGTACGTTGCAGGCATGTGAGTCATCCTATTGATATGGTTACTAGATTAAAGCTTTCTACACATTTTGACTATCTATTATGCAGTATCTTTTTTCCGTTTCTATGTTTATATTCCATACTTTTGCACTTCAAGACCAACCTCATCTTAAGGCTCTTGGCTTTATCTCGTTAATTGAGGGTGGCATCCATACAGCACATTTCAGATTGTTTGTGCCTGATCTGCGTCTGTTACATCTGCATCTGTTTCAGATAATTAACTTTTGTGCAGATTTGTGTTTGGTGCTGGCATCATATTATGGATATGGCTGAGAAAGATGAGACAGAAGGGCGTTGTCCAGCATGTCGTACTCCCTATAATAAGGAAAAGATTGTTGGAACAGCTTCGAGTTGTGAAAGGTAATTACAGTGCAGTTTTAAGTGTATGGCTGCTGGGAAATTTGCATTTGTGGGATGTAAATTTATAGTGTTCACTGCTTTGTTATGATCCATATCATCATTGTGACAGGCTTGTTTCTGAGATGAATGTGGAGAAAAAGATTAAGTCACAGAAGGGGAAGAGCAAAATCTCAGAAGGAAGGAAGCAACTTGCTAGTGTACGAGTTATCCAGAGGAATCTCGTTTATGTTGTGGGCTTGCCGCTTAGTTTGGCAGATGAAGATGTAACTGACTCCCGTGCCTTTTTCTCCGATCGTTCTCCCATTTTCTCCTTCTTTTATCTTATTAATGTTGTTTCTGGTTGCAGATTCTTCAGTACAAAGAATATTTTGGTCAGTACGGAAAGGTGCTGAAGGTTTCTATCTCCCGGACAGCAGCTGGTACTATACAACAGTTTGCAAATAGCACATGCAGTGTGTAAGTTCCAAGTTTCTTAAGTTTAACTGTCATATTGATTTCTGCTTAAAGATTACATTTTCTGAAGCATTGATTACCCACATTTTCATTCTTGAGTGAAGTGGCTCATTATGATTCCGGGTTGATGTATCTTATTCCAATAATTTAGCAATTATTTTGGGTCTCCTTATTTCTGTCTATTTTACTTGTGCATTACCCATTGGTTCTGTTGCCTAGATATATCACATATTCAAAGGAGGAAGAAGCTGTTCGATGTATCCAGTCAGTACATGGATTTGTTTTGGATGCTAGACCCCTGAGGTAAGTGTCATCCTGCATTTGCATACTGTGTGAACTCTTTTTATCACAGCAGATAGTTTCTGAAAACCTTATTGCAGGGCATGCTTCGGCACTACTAAATACTGCCATGCGTGGCTGAGAAGCGCGGTATGAATATTATTACCTTTTCGGAATAAATTAATGGATAAAGAATATATTGTGTTACGCATGCTTAGAATATGCACAACATATTGATCGACGTGAATTACCTGAAAAGATTTACCTTTTTGTCCAGCCTTGCACCAACGTCGATTGTCTATATTTGCACGAGATTGGTTCACATGAGGACAGTTTTACTAAGGACGAAATAGTATCTGCTTACACAAGGTATATCTGCATCAAGATGCATTAAGTTATATTTTTCCTTTTCCATCAATTTATTGATGTACCAATAATGTTCAGTTATATTGTCCTTCTCCTTCATATACTGATTTGCTCGTTTAGTTATTTTTCTGATTGTGCATGTATACATGCATATCTATTCTTTGCTGCTTTAAATTTTGTTAACCCTCAAGAATTGGAGTGCCAGTCTTCCTGATGTCACGAACTACCCAACTTATTCAAGAGGGTGAGCATGGGGAGGTTTGGCTCTGTTTTATGGCTAATACCGTATATGTACCGACTATATCAGTTTCAAGAAAATTGAAAACCAACAATGTTGGTTTCTTCTAGGATGGTTCTTTCGGTGTTTGGTATTAGTCGATTTTTGTGCGGTTCATGCAATCATGTTGCTGACCCGGCATGTTTTCATGTTTGGTATTCAACATAACTGGAAAATAAAACTCGGAAAGAAGTCCTAAAATCTGAACAATACAATAATAAATCAGCGCTGTTGGAAATCATTCACTTCCCCTTGAAGATGTTCATCCTAGAATACAAAAACACAACAGACAAAAGGAAAAATATGGGGAGGGAAAAAATAGATTTACTCTACTGCCTTTTGTTTCCTCCCAGAATCATGAGGGAGACTATCATCCTCTTTCAGCAAGATGCTCCGATCTAGTTGGTTATGGAAAAGGAGGCTGGATCGATTGGGGTTGGGATTTGTCCTAGTTTTGCAGTGTCACGTAATTCAACTATTTGTGAGTCACTACTTAGATTTAGACAGTGGACACATAGAATTATGAGGAAGAATCGATGAGAATTTTGGGGAACAGAGGAACTAAGGAAGAGAAACTCGGTGTGGTCGCCAGTGGGAACTCGAAAGAAAAACGAACATAAAATGGGAAATCTGGGGGAAATTATTAACAGTACAAGATATGTTTATGTGGTTCTAATGTACAACATATATGTATTCGCTTCTAAAGGTTTGGTCAATGACCTGTTGTGCCAAACATACACCGAATATTGGATTTTCAGAAACAAAAAACCATCGAAATGATTTTAAAATTGGGAGGGCTCACAATGGCATAGATTTCCATTTTTGGTTCACTAATCATTTTTCTGGTATTTTTTGCTCACCCTCATACCTAGGTTGACATGAGACTCTGTGATGATTCTGTTATAAAATCTTTAATATTTATTTTCTTGATTTTACCATCGTCTAGGAATTTTTAAGGTTTTTAGCATTTGTTTCTTAAGTATCTGATTGACTTGCATAATGATGGGAATGGAGTAGGGTTCAGCAAATTACTGGTCCCTCAAATGGTACACAACGGCGTTCAGGAAATGTGTTACCTCCACCAGTCGACGAGTATATCAATAACACACCTGCTTCATCTGGGAAGCTTATAAGTAAACCTGCTGTAAATACAAATGTAAGAGTTTCTTGTTTCTTGCCTTCGGCCCCAAATCACTGTCTTTTCCAACTAATGGTTCTCATATGCTCATTTGAATTCATATTTCTGCTTCTATATTGTGGCATTTCTCACGAGTATGCTGAGGCCAACTTAAGTCATTTTTTGGGTATTAATTTCACGAGGAATTTTTTTCCCCATTCAGTTGATGGAGTGAAGAATTGTGACAGTGTGTTCGTTGTGTCACTATATATTTGTAATAAGATTTTTGTTTCTGTCAGCAGAACTCAACAATCAGTGCTAGAGTTTCTCCACCAAACAGCAGCTCTGGTAGATCTGCTGCTCTCCCCCCTGGAGCGTCATGGTATGTTCATATCTTGCTGTTTATTCGTAATTTTACTTGCGGCTGTTTCCGACCGTTCTATTTTCTTTATCAGGGGAACTCGTGCTTCAAATAACCAGTCTTCGCTTACAAGTGTAGAATGTTCTAATGGACCCCTTAAACAGAAAACAGATATGTGTAATGAGACAGTGGCATGCTCAACTGCAAGCGCAAGCCAAAGTCAGATTTCCTCATTTGCCAGTAATACCAGAAAAGAATTGGCCCCTAATGAAGAAAACATTAGTTCTCAAGATAAAAGTTTAGCAGAAGCTTCGGGACCATCCGAAGAGAAATCAAAGACAGAAAGTAGAGTTATTGTTTCCGAGAGCTCCTCCGCATCTGTACATCCTGCCAACTTGCTCGTAAATACAGAGTCCCATGGCCTATCAACAACCAAGCTGCTATCAAGAACCAATCTGTTACCTAATAGTAATAATACTACTGTTGACTCTTCATTAACTTCTGGTCGACTTATTTCAGACACACAATCTACTGATGCCAAAGATAGAAACATGGAGAATGTATGCTCTGATTTTTTATCAATGAGCATTCATGAAAACCATGTTTTAGAAAACGGCCATGTCCAGTACACTAGAGAACCGGCTACTTCTCAAATGTCTGGAAGAGGAGCTGCAAATACAAGTGAGCAGCTCGATTTCAAAGATGTCAAGTCTGATCTTGGACTGGGAATGCCAAGTGAAGCAACAAAAGTCGATTTGCGTGAAATAGAAGACGAATTATTGTCTTTTGATAACCAAAGACTAAAGGATCCTGAGGTTCCTATCAACAGAGTACTAGATTTTCCTCTGTCTCATCTGTCAAATCATTCTAGTACCTATTCTCAGTATAGTAATGCTAATGGTTTGACAAGTTTTGATGTGGATAATCAGGCCATGGATAGACACAGAAATTTGGCAGGTTCTACTTCATATTTTCCTCATGCATATCATGAGAATATACTCAGGAATCCTGAGGTTAATGATATTGAATATTCTAGTTTGTTTCCTGGTAAGGATAAAAGGTCACTGCTGGGGAGATATGAAGGTGAAGTAGCTAGGGGGGCTTCTGATATGGGAGAGAGCAGTATAATATCTAATATGTTATCGATTGGCTTTGATAGATGGGATGAGTCATTAACTTCACCTCAGAACTTGGCTAAGTTGTTAGGTGAAACTGATAAACGGCAAGAATCTTTTGGGATACCAATTTCACGGAAAATCCATAATAGCAATCAGTCAAGGTTTTCGTTTGCTAGAGAGGAGCCCATTAGCCAAACATCTGATTTTGGACAATTTTTTGATCGCTTTGAAGAAGGCTTTAAGCAGCCTTCTTTTGGTCATGATTTCTCTAACAGTAACTTGCGTCATGAAACGTTAGCCAGTCGCAATGGTTTTCCTGTTTTCAATGGCATGGAATCAGAGATGTTTGCTGGCAATCATTCTTTTGCATCTTCTAACAGAAGTTCTGGTAAGCTAATACTGATTCTCTTCTCTTTACCAATAATTTTCTTTGAAGTATATCATTTTATTTGAATCATGTGATTGTGTGCATGCACTTAGCATATGTATCATTCTAGTGGGAAATTGATGATCATTCCAAGAAAAAGTGATCATGTTTTCCCTGTAGGACGTTACCAGTGAGAAAAGTTTGGTCGGTTTTTGAGTTCCAAAAAGATTTCTTAAACTTTCGAAATTACAGTTGTCCAATAATACTAATGTACCATTTTTCTAGTTGGTTAGGGAAGGAGGATCATTTTTATTTTCCTTGTCTGCTGTGATGTTAAGCAAACACTGGTTGATGTATAGGCAAACTTGCACTTCTATTGATTTTTCTAGAGCTTATTTTTTGGTATAATTCCATTATTCTTTCTAGTCGTTTTTGGACAATAGTTCCGAGTACATCAGTCAAGTCTTTTATTCATCTCTTCTGCGTAATCTAGTTATGTCATTTATTTATTTAATTTCTCGTCTTTTTTGCTATGCCTTCAAACAGGTTCAAGATCTCAAATATCAGCCCCTCCAGGATTTTCTGTGCCTAGCAGGGCACCTCCACCAGGCTTTATTTCTCATGAAAGGACAGATCAAATACTGGACTCAGTCCCTGGTTAGTTTCATAAGCTTTACCTCTAAACCCTTTTAAGGTTCTTATTTATGTTACAAAAATAACGGTTGATTAATGATCAGTTCTATCTCTCTACTTTGCAGGGAACCAAATGTTTGATTCTTCACCTTTTTCAAGAAATCTTTACCACACACTATCAGGTGGTAATAACACCATTAGTGACGGTGATATCGAGTTTATGGATCCTGCAATTTTGGCAGTAGGCAAAGGCACAGTTCCAGCTGGCATCAACTACTCCGGCGTAGACTTGAGGTCAAATTTTTCTTCACAGCAGAATTCATACGAAGGGGCGAGATTCCAATCGTTTTTGCAAAGATCGCTTCCTCCACATCAGAATCAAAGATACGCTGATATGGGGGATAGTTTTTCTCCCCATGGTGATGCTTATGGAGTTCCTTCTAGAGCTGTGGAGCAAACACTAGCCAATAATCTCTCTCCATATTCTCAGTTCAACCATCCTCAGTCTAGAAATGGTATAACTTCTAACGGCCAATGGGATAGCTGGAATGAGGTACAAGGTGGGAATAACTTGGGTATGGCAGAACTACTCAGGAATGAGAGATTGGGGTACAATAATAATAATAGCATTAATAATAATAATAATAATAAATTCTACAATGGTTATGAAGATTCCAAAATGCGAATGCCTAGTTCCGGCAATATATACAATGGGGCTTACGGGATTTAATTGGACTTCTTATTTGGGGTTGTTTGATTTCTTGTGTGTCGGACTTTGACGAACCTGCGTTAGGGTTTCGAAGATTGGCACATAGATGAATGACCGAATAAGTGGCTGTTGTATTGAATTATTCACTTGTGAGAGTGGGCCTATGAAGTCTGTAAAATGTTCCCGTTTAAAGGAGACAAGAGTGAGTCGGAGATTAGTCTGACGAGGGCTGCTTTCAGGTTGGTGAAGGATCGAACCTTCTCAAATGGGGAGTCTGGAAACCAACAGGTAAATCACTCTTGCATAACCTGTAGTGTATGTATATATATATATATATATATATATATATATATATATATATATATATATATGATTTCTTATGATGTAATAATGTTAGTTGTGGCAACCACTTTTTGCAGGTGAAAGGAGCTTGAGAATGAGGCTTGATTCGATTGTTACACAAGAAAATATTATACTTTTCGTTTAAATGGGAGGCTTTAAAAGAACCGCCGACTACTTTAATTTTCCGTCCACTGATTCCTGGTCGGTGTTTTATTATTTTCTTTTCTTTTCTTTTTTCGATTTTTCGGGTTTGGTGGGGTACAAAATTGTGAAAATAACTACATTTGAAATAAAAGAAGTGGGTTCAATTAATTTGCGTACATACATTTTTTGTACTGTTTGAATGAATGAGTGGATGAACGGTCAAGATCAGTGAAGTAAAAATGGATGGTCAATATCATTTAAGATGAACTTTTAATCCGGGCTAAATCTAACATTGGGCTACACTTGAGAGAAATTTGGAAATGGGCCATGTTATAAATAATTCATTAATGGGCCTATATCATTTTAGTGGGTTCTGCCAACTATAAATATCTTTTGAATTATGGTATTAAAACTAAAAATTGAATAAAATATATCTTACAATTTCAAAGGTTATTTAAATAAATTAGAAAATTATAATTATTCTCTCTATGAGAACGCGCTGAACCGGGTTGAAAATTTAACCCGAATCGGAAAGAAACGATTTAATTAATTCAATAATTTGAATCACGTGCCATTTGCTGAACAAGCACTAGTAAATTACTATATCTGTCCACGTAAGATGGAAAACAACGTGACTGTGTGAAAGTACGATTGTACTATGAACTATTATGAACCGTACGAAATCTTAAAACATATACAATACTAGTTAGGGGTTGTCTAGGGTCCGAGAGGGGTTGTACTACTCGGACCCAAACGATTGAAAATCAACCAATAAAAATGTGACACGTATGATTTGTACGAACCCCACAAAAAAAGTACGATACCTACCTTATAAGTGAAATTACATAAAAATCCTATAACTAAAAATTAAGTAACAATTAATAATAATTAATAACTAGGGTCATGAAAAGGGAACTTAAATGCACATTGGTCCACATAAACA